AGTGAATTTTCAACATTTTTGATGTCTTTTTTGATTTTTGTGCCTGTAGTTCTAGCAAAAGTGTATTTATGATTATTATCAATTTCCTTTTTTAGTATATCGTGGTATAGATTTTTACAAATTTAAGATAAATTATTGGAACATTTATCTATAGGAGTGATAATATAGTCCTTCTGTAAATTAAATATATTTTCTTTAAAAGAAGGAATGTCTGAATTGGGTTTTGTGTATTTAAGTGTATTATTATAATAATTTATAATTTCCTTTTTAATATTATGTTTCCATTCCAGAAAAGTAAATTCTGGAATACTGTATTTTATACTAGTTTTATTTATGAAAATATCTATATCTTTTTATATAGATTTAATTGTATTATTATAATTGTGTTTAATTTGAGGTATATATTTATACCCTTTATTTAAAATTTCTTGATATTCTGGATTTAAAAAAGAAAAATTGCTAGTTAATATATGACCTGAGAACTTATATTTATCAATATAGTTGTTGCAATTACATTTAATTTTTTTAAAATTTGCCAAATTATTAATAAATTGGTTATAATTGCAAACTAAATTACCTATATTTTTATTGTATCTCCAGATTGTTTTGAAATTTAAATTTTTTATAGGGAAAAGATTATTGATGATTTGGTTATTAAAAATATCATTAAATTTAATATGATTAAATAAATTGTTATTAAATTTAATGATAATTTTAATGTTATTAGTAGCTTGTTTAATTTTTCTGTATTTAAAGATGTCGTGTGTGATATCTATTAATCTGTTAGTCAGATTATGAATTTTAATATATTCTATGAGTTTGATAAATTTATTATTATTTAGTTTAAATAATGTTTTAATAAATTTATCGACGAAGTTGTTAGTGTACATTTGTTTTGGGTCCAGTAATTCTTCAAATTCAATGTAACCTAATTTATTTGTAGTTTTACCTCTAGTTTTATTAGGTTTAGTTTTAAATTCATTTTTTTTGTATTTGCAACTGATTTCATAGGTTGAAATTTCTTCTGTTTGTGGTTTGTATGTGTAGTTTAATTCGTCGTTAAGTCCATAAGGGAATAATGTGTTGTGTTTATAAATGTAGTTGTTTTCTAATAATAGTCGTTGTTTTTTGTTTTGACATATGTCTAGTATTTCTATCTTAAAGTTGTTAAAAGTATGTAATTGATTGTGTTCTTTCATATATATATTACCAATTGATTTTTTAGCGTGGTTTCTATGTAGGTTTATTCGTATATTTAATGGATTACAAGTTTGTCCTATATATGATAGTTGACAAATTTGGCATGTTAATTTATAAATAGTATTCACTAATTTACAACTAGTTGTTTGAAAAGTGTCATGGTTCTTAAGAGAGGGACAAGTTTGACAATTTTTTCTTAGGCAATTCTTAGCGAGTTTAAATTAACATAAAAGAGGTGCTAACACTAATATGTTTGTAGTTTTTTTTAGTTTTTTTAGTTTGTTATTCTTATGAATTTTTAAATATATTTTTCTTAATTGTTTTTGTGGTGATAAAATTTGTAATAAATTGAATAATTAATCTATAAATATATAGATATTACTGTTTGTTATCTGTTATATTTTTAAGAATAACTAATAAAAAAAAACATCTTTAAACTAACTAAACACTGAAAAAAACAAAAGTTCTGAAGTTATTTTTTCTAGAATTACTTTTATAATTTACTTTTTAATAATCAAACAATGAAAGATAATTAAAATTTGTATGAAGATTTATTTATATTAGAATATCTAATATAATTTAATTTGTATATTATGTTATATATAAAAAATATATCATAGAGCAAGCTCATATGAATTAATATAGTGTAGAAACTATATAACAAAATTATAACAGTGATTCTAATTTTAAAACTTAAGGAGCAAACTGATAATAATGATAACTTATATCAATTAGATATGATTAGATTAGCAAGCTAAATCTAAATTAATTATAATAATAAATAGTTATTTAATTTTATAGTCCAGTTTTGTATTAAGATTATCTTCACTATTATGATCATTTAAATTCAAATTATAAAATTTGTAAAATGTTATTAATTTGTAGATAGAGAGAGAAAAAAAATCCTTTACTTCTAATACATCCTCAAGTTAATTATATATTTATAATTAATAACAATAAAAATTAACAACGTAACGTCTATTACATCGGCTTTTACACGTCATTTAGACATACTCTAATCCTATATATAGAATAATCGAAGAGAGAATATAGAAAAAAATCTGGAGAAGGTATTTTTCGGATTTTTAGTCAAGAAAAATAAAATGACAGGTTCTGGGAAAAAAGTTGTTTTTTTATTCAGAAAATGATGATCACAATATTGCCGTATCATATTTGATTATCAGATACAAAATTATATCCGGAAAAATTCCAAAAACCAGAGACCACGGGTGAAGCCAGTTCAATTTTAGTATGCAGGAAACAAAATTCTAACAGAAAAACATTAATTCGAGCAGAAGACACAAAGCCATATCATCTCTTTATAAAAATATCGCTTCTCAGACACAAAGTTTGGAGCGGGACGTTTCACAAGAATGACATCCACGGCGCCAATTTATAATTGTAACGAATAGTAATTGAATAAAAGCATTTAATCGGGTAAAACCCGGGCGTTGCCCGGGTCATTTGGCTGGTATATATATATATATATATATATATTAAGAAAAAGGCATCTCCTTATCGTGCAACTGAAAGTTGCTGATGGCTTGCGCCATCTATCGGAATAATAATCAACTATTCTCGTTGAATTTTAATTATTCCAGAATTGGCCAAATACCCATTCTTGATTAATCAAGAAAAGCTAACCACGGATAGATGCCTTTTTCTTGATTTATGCACCTTATCCCAGTACAATGTTACATTTGTACTATTTCTTCATATATATATATATATATAATAAAAGGATTTAAAAGCGCGAATGTTTCTTTTATACATAAAACGAACTTCTACTGCCCTTACTGCGATGAAAAAATATATTGGGAGGGCTTGGCTCATCAGTGGTGAACCCTCCCAGCGGTTTCGCCAATTTAATCCACCAGACCGCTTCTCAGAGCTCTAATATTGTATTGGATCATTCTGCTTTTATATGCTACACTGAAGGATGGAATCTTAGAAATGGTTTTCAAGTAAACTATGGACATAAGCTTATAGGACAGTAGAATTATATTCAAATATTTGCTTCGAGCAATGCTCTTCAGCAAACTATAAAGGTCATTAGGAATAAATTAACACAAAGCAATAACGCGCCATCTATACATATAATCTATACATACATATAATCTATACATCTATACATATCTATATTTATTCCTAATGACCTTTATAGTTTGCTGAAGAGCATTGCTTGAAGCAAATATTTGAATATAATTCTACTGTCCTATAAGCTTATGTCCATAGTTTACTTGAAAACCATTTCTAAGATTCCATCCTTCAGTGTAGCATATAAAAGCAGAATGATCCAATACAATATTAGAGCTCTGAGAAGCGGTCTGGTGGATTAAATTGGCGAAACCGCTGGGAGGGTTCACCACTGATGAGCCAAGCCCTCCCAATATATTTTTTCATCGCAGTAAGGGCAGTAGAAGTTCGTTTTATGTATAAAAGAAACATTCGCGCTTTTAAATCCTTTTATTTTATATGTATAGATGGCGCGTTATTGCTTTGTGTTAATATATATATATGTAATAAAAAAAGACGTAGTCTAGTTACGTTACCAATTCATGCAGTCGTGGATGGTAAAAATGAATGATAACTTTTGTTCCAAATAATATTAATTATTTTGATTAGTTTTCAAAGCAAACAGTTTTTTGCATACATACAACTAACAATGTTATTATCTATTTACAATGAAAGTAAAATAAGGTTATATTCCTTTTGTTAAGGAATATTTTTCATTTTAAAATTTAACTCTGTGATTATAGAATTCTAATTATTTTATGAATAATAAAAATCATATTTTTATTATGTCATTTCTTCCCTCCAAGGATAAAAATTAGGGAGTAATTTTCAAAGTTAAAAAAAGTATCATCATTATTTACATAGTTTATCACTTAAGATGGAGGATACCAGTTGAAACTATATCAATGATGCTCTTTATTCCTTCTACATATTCTTATTGGTACCTTTGTTCTTGACAGTAGCCGAAAATTATCCAATCTTATTTGAATTTATAGGTGTCTCCTTCCTATAACTCATAAGACGATTTACCTCATGAATTGAGTAGGCCTTCTCAGGGCTCTCAAGATTCAAAAGGTATTTTGCCACATGCCAAAAAATATATATTTTTGAAAATCACAAATTTATTTCTCAAATTGACAAATTGGTACCCAACATATTGTTTCACATTTATTTGATTTGATCAAAATAAAAACATAAAATAATGGGGTATTTACCTCCATATAATAAAAAAAATATTTACACATGAAGTTTTATTATTTATAAAAAAAAGAATGTTCGAATATGAAATGTTACATATAAAATTTGTGAGGGAAAATATATAGAATCAGATGAGTGAATTTCTCAACAAATAAAATCAAAATGTAAAATATTTACAACAATTTAAAAGAAAAGTGTCAAGTTATATCTAATATATTATTGATAACTCAAAAATTATATAGTCTTCTCTAGTCCTCGAGTGTTTTTAAAAGCTCATTTTTATATTGTAATAGTATACCTTATTTGTGCACAAAAATTATATTCTCAAGGTTTAATTTTTAGGCCTAGTTATTTTTGGTATTGTCTTATTTATGTTAAAATTTTCCTGCCATTATTTAGTATGAAGAGGGATTCTACTTTTCACTACCCTAGGTACCACTTGTTGGTTTGGTTTTTTCTCTAAAGTGGGTATTTTACTTTTAGTCAGTTTTAATTCAAATCCTTCTTTTGGGTAGTATGGCCTCAATTTGGTCCTTTATAATGTATCATAAGTTACTTTAAGTATTATTTACGAACGGAAAAATACGTCCAGGGTAGCCTAGTGGACATGGCATCTGCCCGGTAAGCGGAAGGTTGTGTGGGTTCGATTCCCGCCCCTGGACACTTTTATTTTTCCGTTCGCCATTACTCTTCATATTTTCACCCTTTCATACTTCATCCAAAAAAGTTAGAAATAGTAAATATTTCTCTTTGAAATAAATATTGATTTTTCACAGAAAAAGAAACTTATGTGGTTAGCAGCAACACATAAAATTCCGAGGATAAGTTTCTTTTATTTTAAAAATAATAATATTTTGAGCTTTCGGGCGTAAACAGCCCTTCTTCAGGAATATTTGAAAACAAATTTTTTGAAAACAATTTCAAGTAGAAATGTTTGTACACAAATGGATGGTATCCTTCTTTGGTCTCGTATAGCGTGAGTGAATTCCATGCCCACGTGATTTAGTTTAAATCTAAAAAGCGTTTATAAAGAGATGCGTTTTTGCCCCTAGAAATATTGGCCGATTATATTGAATATTTTGAAAGGATTACTTGTCTTAAAATGAATATTTTATGTCTGAATTAAATTTATATACATAAATTAATCGGGAAATTGCTATTGTTTATCTAGAATGTAGTTTTATGTATCAGGATTGTGTATCACTTATGTGGTGCAACTTTAAGTGTTTTATTATAGGCATTTGTTCTGGCAGTTTCTATAGGGGGGTAAAATTCTGATTCTTTTAAGGGGGGATCATAAGGGAGCTTACCATACAAAAGGTAAGTAGGAGTATAGCCTGTTATGGAATGGGGAGTATTATTATATTCATTTAGTACTGAATCTAACAATTTCGTCCATGGTATAGATTTTCCTTTCAAGTTATTGAATTTACATCTTAACCTGATTATTATGGTTTGGTTAAGTCGTTAATTTAACCCATTACACTGAGGTGTTGATGATGAAGTCAATAATTGTTTAATATTATTGTTAATCAAATATTTTCTAAATCTTGGTGAAGTAAATGATGGTGCCCTGTCACTTAAAAATTGTTTTGGTTTTTGTATTTGAAAAATTTTGTTTAGGCAATTTATATATGAGTCAGTAGTTTGACTTTTTGAGGGGAAAGCCCAAATATATCTAGTAGAATGATCTACGATGATGTGAAGATTTTTCTTTGTATAATTATAGTAATTTAGTCCACCTACTGTGTCTATAGACACGAGATCAAAAGGATCCTTAGCTGGGGTGAGACTTTCCAACAGACCAAATTTCTTCTGGTGTTAAAAGTTTGTTAAAAGTCCATTAAATTTAGTATATTTCCTATCATTAATGTTTTCATCAAATTGAGCTTGTTTTAGTTCTGGGTCAGAAACAAAATGAGCTATGGGGTATCTGCTGAGAAAATCAGCTTCTTTATTTTCAGTTCCTCTTATGTGTTTAATCTCAAAATTAAACATAGAGAGCTTTAAGCTCCATCTAAATAATCGTCCTTTTGGGTTCTTTATGTTCTTCAAGTACTCAAGACAAGCATGGTCTGTATGGATGGTGAAATGCACGCCAACTAAGTAGGGTAAAAATAAATCTACAGCATCAATAATAGCAAGCCATTCTTGCTCAGGTACACAATAGTTTGATTCATAAGATGTCATTCTACGGCTTCTATACGCTATTGGCTTTAAAAGCCCATCGGGTTGTTCTTGTTTTAGGATAGATCCGATCTGTTCTTGACTAGCATCCGTGTAAAGGTGTATAGGATATTTAGGATTATAGATAGCTAATATAGGTTTTGAGGTTAATTATATTTTTTAATTTAGAAAATGCGGTTTCGCATTCTTCGTCCCATTTCCATTCTACATCTTTTTTCAACAAATTATTCAAAGGGAGTCTGAGTTTAGCATAATTAGGGATAAATTTCGAGTAAATGTTAATAGATCCTAAAACTAGTTGTAAATCCTTTTTATTCCTTGGGGAATTCAATTTTCTAATAATTTCTATATTATTAGTGCTGGGTGAAAATTGATGGTTTGATATTTCATATCCCAGAAAAGAGAGAGAAATCTGATAAGTAGCAAATTTACATTTACTTAGTTTTAGCTTAATATTTTCCTCTTGATACAAATATTTAAAATTACTTTTAAATCGGTCAAATGTTCCTGAAAATTATTTGAAAATATAATGAAGTCATCGAAATAATTCATGCAAAAATCAACATCATATTTATTTAAAATTTGCTTTAAAACTCTTTGGAATTGACTTGGACTATTTTTTAATCCAAAAGATAATTTACGATAAAATTCAAGAATCAAGGGACGAGTTTCTTTTATACGACGATTTATTACAAAACGCTCAAGCTTTCGGGCTGGCCGGCCCTTCTACAGGAGAAATGTGAAAACATATGGAACATTGAACACTATATAGGGATGAGACTATTTACATATTTAAAAACTATAGAGACTGTGCATATCTATGAAATGTTGCGAGGAATAATTAGCATACCAGGAAATTATGCAAAGGAGAAATTAACATGCATGATAATAGCTATTGAATGTAGTAGAGTTAGGAATATTTTCTAATGTCTATGAGGGAGGAGGGGAGTCCGTGAGTGGTAGTAAAGGCTGTGTATTCTTTATCATCTGAGTGTATATCTAAATAGTGATAACCTGATAAAAGATCTAGTGTAGTGAAGATATTAGTTTCTGAAAGCTTATCTAATATAAAATATATTCTTGTGGTATGGGCTCAGAATCCCTTTTTATTATATCATTTAATTTTCTGTAGTATATTACTAGTCGAATTTTACCTTCATTTCGCTTATTTATCAACATAGCAAGGGATGCATAAGAGGAATAAGATGGTCTAATGACATTATATTTTAAAAGTTCTTCAATCTGTCTTTTAATTTCAATGTTGTCCGAGAAGGAATGTCTAAAAGGCTTTAATGAAATAGGTGTTTGTGAGGTAAGTTTAATTCTAATTGGATCTGCTTTAATATGTCCTATATCCATTTTAAGGTTTAATTCTAATTGGATCTGCTTTAATATGTCCTATATCCATTTTAAGGGAGCAAAAGCTTCCTTATTTTCCTTAATTAATTTTATTAAATCAGAATTTTCATATGGTGAAAGTTTTTCATCAAATTCTACACAATTGAAATTTCTAAAATCATTTTCATTAGGAGGAATAACAGATGGAAATAAAGGAATTACATTATGATGTGTATAATAATTATTATTATTATTAGGGTTATGGTAATTAACATTAAGAATTCTACCAAATTGAGTAATTGTAAAATTTAAAAAATCAATTTTCAATTTAAATAATCTTATATGGTGTAGAGAATGCAATACATATTGCAAATCAATATAGGAAGAATAAAAATCAATATCTCTAGTAATAGATCCTATAGTTGTATTAATATTAATGTTTGAATTTATATTTGGCATACCGGGTGTCTGATTAATAAGAGGTAAATTATTAAAAGCAAAATAGTTTGGTTGAATCTTATCTAACATGTGTTGAGGAATTATCGAGAATGTACAGCTAGTATCTATGAGAGCTATAATACTGATATTATTCATATTTAGATGGCGTCAGGAGTGTTGAGGCGGAGCTGGTCGGCATTCGCTCGAAGGGGCTGCTGTCTGCGTCAAGGTATCCATGGATCGAGACGGCACGGACATGAAGCTTGCAGCTGGAGAGGCTTGTACGGCCTTCTCCCGAAACCAGCACCTATTCTCAGGATGGAAGCGTCCGGCATGTCCCCGGTTCAGGTAGATTCGGCAGGGACGGCTTTTAGTACCATAGTCAATAGGGCTTCTACCTGGATGTCTCCATTGCTTTTGTTGTACTTCCATTCTTGGGGCTGTTTCCCTTTTAAAAGATGACTCCTCCATTTCCTCATGTCGATCAATCATTTCTAATTTAGATACTACGGCGGTCCATTCTTCTGGAGTGTCCACTTTAGATGTGATAACCAGTTTTCTAAAATCAGTTGTTAACCCATTTGTCAGACCTTCTATTAAATTTTCTTTTGAAATCTTTGCTTTAGAAGCGAGACGTTTTTTTTTTAAGATAATTTTCAATCCCCTTTTCTGGATCATATTTCAATTCAATAAAAGCTGTGAATGGATTAACTTCTTGTTTATATAAATGCAACAATAATTTATTTTCTAGTTCAGGCCAACTTGTAATATCCAAGCAAGTCTCCACATAAAAATAAAAAGCCTCTTCTACTAAAAAATCTCCCACATTTTTCAATTTCCAGGTATCATTTAATACTTCTAAGAAAGTCTTCTGATTAAAATATTTGAGCCACGATTTTAGGGCTAGACTTCCGTTAGGGTTAAATTTATATACGTTTAGTTTAGTTTAATCTGACATATTTCTTTCTATTTGTAATATGTTACTTTTACTTCTGTCTTTTAACTTTGGCATTTATATTTAATATATAAGGAAATTTTTAAATTTTCAAGTCGTAATTTTGAATTTTATAGTTAAAAATTAACATCTTTAAAGCAATTCCATTTTCGTCTTAACGTAAGACGTCTTTAAATAATCATCACATATAATAAAGCGTCTGTTCGTTGAAGCCGAATAGGATTGGTCCATTCTGTGTCACGTGTTCAAGTTACGTAGTTAAGTCACGTGTTCAAGTTACGTAGTTAAGTGACGTGGCCGGCTATAGGTCTGTTTGGTTTTTGTTTTCATCCTTTATTTTATTCTATTCTGACCTTATTAGTCATTTTTTGCTTTCGGCAATTTATTCGGTGAATATTTGAGGAATAATATTTTATAAATAATTTTATATTTTTAATTCAGCTTGATTATTTTATTTTTATAAACAATGTCTCCTAAAAGAGCCCTTTCTATTGTTGAGGCCATCGAAGCAAAGCAACGTCGTATTGAACAGCAGCGACAAAGACGTTTAAATTCACCCGTAAGAGAACGGCATAATGAACAACAACGGCAATACCAAATGAATATGAGCGAAAATCAAAGAGCCCTTCAAAGGGAAAACAGTAGGCTGAGGATGCAAAGAATTCGACAGGGAGATAATCTACCTTTGCCAACAGGGACATGGTTTATCTAGGATGTAGTTCTATGTATCAGGATTGTGTATTA